CCTGGGATTTTTTGGAGCGTGGGTGAAGTTTCGAGAGGACGTTGTGGGGAGACCGGCGTTTATGATGCCGTCGTCTCCATCGCGGATATTGTTTCGCAATTGTTGTAGTACGTGGCATACGCGTTCACGGTGCTGGGCTTGAGGCAGACGACGATAGCTGGTCATTTGTCTGCTGCTAATTTATTTCATCGTTTGTCGTATACGATGGAAGTTGATACATGTCATTCTTTGATCAAGCAAGCGCTCAAAGGGGTGGCGCGAGGGCATGCGGGTGTTGGTGCGCAGCAACGGGTGCGACGTCCGGTGTCGTGGTCGATGCTGAAGGAAGGGGGGCGTCTGGTGCCACAGTGGGGCACGGGTGGGCGCGTGTTGTTTCTGGCGTTGAGTGCGTCATTTTTTTTCTTGATGCGGGCATGCGAAATGTTCGCTGTGTCCTCGTTGGCCATGGATTCTTGTCATGGGTTGCGTCGGGGGGACGTGGCGTTTTTTTTGGGTTCTCGCCAGTTGCCTCCGGAACGGAGGGGAGAGGCCGACAGAGTCGAGGTGCGGTTTCGGTCGTCCAAAGGCGACCAGTTTCGGAAGGGCGCCGTGTGTACACGGGCGAGGCCGGGGCCTCCCCAGTCTGTGGAGTGGAGGGGGGGTGCAGTCGATGTGACGATTGAACTCCTTTCATGCTTCCCTGTTCTCCCTTCGTCTTCTCCGTTAGTCGAGTTCGGAACCGGGGAGGGGCGATGGTCCGTGTGGACTCGTCGTCACGCGACGGAAGCGCTGCGGCAAGTCGTGTCGTTGGCAGGTCTGCCGTCGTCCGAGTACGCGTTGCATTCTCTTCGGATTGGGGGCGCCACGTACTTGGCAGCGGGGGGAGCGTCGCCAGAAGTTCTGAGACGAGAGGGGAGATGGACTGGGGAATCGGGGTATCGGCCGTACGTAAGGAACCATGGGAAAGATGCAGAGTGGGTTTCTAGTACCTTGGCGTCGGAGGGTGATTCAGAGAGGCAACCAGGACAGGGTACAGAGTGGGGTGACGTAGTCCCCGAGGCTGGTGAGGGCGAGCCGTAAAAGGAGGGGGGAGTGAATGCGATCAGGGTTTATTGGTCGGTACAAGAGTGGGAACCACGGTAGGGGGGGAGAGAGAGTACAGATCAGTATGGAAACCAGTCCGCGGTTAGATTGGGGGCAGGCATGACTTTGAGAGTATGCCTGATGGTGCGGTGACTGGTTTATACTGATGGTGTTGTGGACGATGATAGGTTGAGATCCCCGAGTTCCGCTCTTCTCTCCCCCCCCTGTTCAAGCGTGGGGGGGTACGACCAATTAATGCAATTTCGAAAGCAACGAACAAAGCAGAAGATTGCAGAGACAGAGGCGTTGAAATCTGAGTTTTGTGAGGAGCGGAAGTTGAAATATCTGTTGGCCAATCAGTGTGCAGCAGCATGGAGTAAGCGTGAAGTGTCTGAAACCTGACCAGAAGAGTAGACTTGGGAGCACTTGTTGGTCTGCCCCAAGGAAGCACGAGGGAGGCTGCTGCAGNCCTGCCTCAAACTGTTTCAGGGCGATTTGATCGCGGGCGGTGAGCTCTGCTGTAGATTCTGCTCCCCGCTGTAGCTCCACAACGAGAGACGCCCACAGGATGACCAGGGTATCGGCTTGTAGCTACGGGCTAGGCCTTCAATTCAAGTCACGCAGCAAGCTCCACCTCTCAGCGGTAGTCCGGCTACAGCGCATCGCGCAATCTCGCTCTCAATCATAAACTTCGCTCTCAATCACACGAAAACCTTGTTATAGATGATCCTTGCCCGGGTGTGTCTGTCGCGTTAGGGATGTTGGCGGTACTCTCAGTGCGGGTGAGAGCGCCTAAGTTGCTGTGCCACGAGCGGCGAGTGCACAGTGACTGGTTGATTGGTTATGGTCGACAGGGTCGGCCGTAGCCGTGGGCCGGCGGTCGGGAGCGGGGGCGGGTGCGAACCCAACGTGGGGGTTCGTGAGGTACCGCGTGTGTGCGACCGTTGATGAGTTTGACGAGGTAGCGCGACTAGACATGGANTGCCACGAGCGGCGAGTGCACAATGACTGGATGATTGGTTATGGTCGACATGGTCGGCCGTAGCCGTGGGCCGGCGGTCGGGAGCGGGTGCGGGTCCGAACCCAACGTGGGGGTTCGTGAGGTACCGCGTGTGTGCGACCGTTGATGAGTTTGACGAGGTAGCGCGACTAGACATGGACATGCAGTGGTGTACTTCACGGTGCATCACAATCAATGTGGTACATGTGCGGTATCTTGAGGTCGGTATATCGGAACATGCGTGCAATTTGGAGAGAAGAAAGGGGGGCAGGCATGACTTTGAGAGTATGCCTGATGGTGCGGTGACTGGTTCATAATGATGGTGTTGTGGACGGGGATAGGTTGAGATCCCCGAGTTCCGCTCTTCTCTCCCCCCCTGTTCAAGCGTGGGGGGGTACGACCAATTAATTTGGGGTCCTGCCCTCGATCGCCGCCACGATGTAACGCTACTCGGGGAGAGCGACCTGCTTGCTGTGTTGATGCAATCGTTCAATGGTGCGCAGGGAGAGCCGTAATACCTGTACGGTGATCCGGCGTACCAGAACTCGCCGCGGTTGATGTCGCCATATTGGGGTTTATTGACCCCTGAGGAAGCTGGCTTCAATTCCGCCATGAGCAGTGTTAGGGTTACGGTGGAATGGGGGTTCAGTCGAGTCGTCGCCCAGTGGCCCTACGTAGACTACCACAAGAAGCAGCAGGTCGGTCTAAGCGCGTGTGGCCTCGGCAAACAGTATTATGTCGCCGGCATTCTCACCAATTGCCATTGCTGCTTCTACCCAAATTCGACGGCACAGTACTTTGACCTCCAACCCCCGTCCCTCGAGGAATAATACCTTCAGGCAGAGGGCCAGGTAAGACGTACTCGAAATAGGAATCGACGTTGGGAAGGGATAGTCACACGCTCGCGCAACTTGGTATGACGTAGGGGTGCCGTGTTGAGGTTAGATAACGACATATATGAGGTGCTCCGAGGAACTGTCGGCGCCAGGAGTAGGAGATCAACGCAAGGGAGGGAGATGGGTTGGGTGTGCGGCATGAAAAGAGGCAGCATGCTTCGTACTTAACCCTTATGTGACTACACCCACGAATGAGCTCCGTTCCCAGCTCCGATGACTCTTTAATGCGACATATATCAAACCGAATTGAGCCCGAATCGAGCTGTGGCTACCTGCGTCGACGAGGGCTGGACTGGACGAGTAGACCGTCGAAACGGGACTAAATAACGACGGGGACAGCAGCAGTAGCATCCCCTACACAAAAAAAAAAACAGGGTAGTCCTCGATACCAGTTTTTCTGACGGACACAAAACGGGACGGTTTGCAAAATGACGGTACTTTTTTGGCGGTTGACGGTACTTCGTTTTTTTAACGGTACCACTTTTGGCGGTTCACGGCACCGCCGAATGTGCCGGTACTTTTTTGGCGGTGGACGGTACTTCGTTTTTTTTACGGTACCTGTTCGGCGGTACTGCAACATCACGGTAATAATGACGCTGTCGAGGAAAACTGTTACAACATAGTCAGGCACAGTTTACCATAGGTGCGACTGCGGCAACTAGCCTTCCGTAGACATAATACAGAAAGAAGAGATGGTACTCAGCAGAGAACATGAGCACAGAGTTGTAGCGGAGATAATTTGGCAGGCGAGACTGTAGTTGTTTTATTGTTCCGAACCCCGAAAATTCCGGTACTCGGGCCTTTACTCCGGAGACCCTCGGAACCTGCTGTGTTTTTGCTGCTTGTTTTTTATTTTTGTTTTGTTGTTGAGATGAGACACAAGCGCGCCTTCGCCCCTTGTGCTCACTCTCATCTAGCACCCATCAAAGCCTGACCAGGGAGTCAGTTGATAAGAAAATCTCTCTACACTTCTCTTTCCAGAGCTCGCTCGGGCCTACCGATTTCACAGCAGTGTAGACCAACCTCTGTTTGTGATAGAGCGGTGACAGCAGTGTAACCTCTGTGGTAGACTACAAAGTCTACGAGCTACAGCAGCACCGCCACCTCCGCTGCTGCAAGACGCCACATTCTGTGAGGTTATGAGCCTCGCTTTACGCGAACACTAGGAGCTGCGGACGTCACGACGGAGGTCAAGACATCCTACTACTGCTGTGGACTACAACATCCGTCTGTGGACTTCGAGCGGAAATCTGGATTCGGAGATTTGGGAGATCATCAACGGTCAGCGGAAACGAAAGTGAGCGCACTACTTGGTCATCTACACCAAGGGGCTGAGAGTTCATTATACACACACGTTACCACTGCTGCAACAGCAGTAGTGGGTACCTCTGTGTTGAACAAACAGCAAAGTGTTGCGCGGGAAGCCTCGATTTAGACATCGAGCAAATACTTCTGCGGCGGAGACAGGAGGGAAGACTGTATCAACAGCGAAAGTCGACCGGGAACCGTAGTCCTATTCACCGATTCCCTAAGTGAGGAAAGGGTATCAGGAGCGGGGTCGCAAATTGGCCTACAACCGGAGTTCTATTCACCGATTCTCTATCTAGGTGAGAAAAGGGTTTCAGAAGCGGGGTCACGAATCGGCAACCGGAGTCCTCTATATCAATAGAAGGAGCGGGGCTGGAAAAATCTCAGCGACAGATAGCTGAGTAATTCACCAACAAAAATACAAGACGAGATCATCAGGATAAAACCAGAAATGGAAGCAAAATCGGAAACTGGAGGCGGAGGCAGCATCTGGAGTGATGGATCCACAAACCTGGCCAACGTCATCAGAGGACTCCCCAAGTTCGATGGAACGAAACCAGAGGACTTCAACGACTGGATGAAGAAATTGGGTGTAGTCGTCGGCGTTACTCGGAGGGACATCATGCCACTTCTCAAGGGAATGCGCAGGCCTGATCCCTCGGACACCAACTTCGCCGCATACGAGAGAGCAAACGAAGACCTGTACGCAATCCTATTCTGCCTCGTCGAACTGCCGGCTGCACTAACCGTACACAAGCACGAAGACGACACCGGCCTTAGCGGCGACGGGCAGGCAGCATTCGCGGAACTGAAGGCCAACTACAATCGAGTGACAGATGAAGTGATCAGGGCTAAACTGGACGACCTGGAAAGGACGGTCATGGAGCCAGGAGAGAACCCGGACGATTTTTTCAACAAGAAACACCGCCTCCGCTCTCAACTAGAGAAAATGGGGGAAACCATCTCCGATCGCCGCTTCAAGGACATCTGTGTGCAAGGTTTCTCCGAGGACTACAAGGACATCAAGATGATGGTTTTCCGCGACCCATCATTCGACGTACAACAGATGCAAGCCACCATGCGCAACATCTTCCTTGACGAGCAAATGCGCAAGAGAACCAAGGGCCAAATCGCTGGCCGCGGATTCGCCATGGCTACCAAGACATCTGGCCCCATCTGCTTCGAGTGCAACGAACCGGGACATGTCAGGAGGAACTGTCCCAATCGCCAGCGGGAGGGCCATAGGGCAAAGAAGACGAAGCCTGCGGGAGCAACCAAGTGGTGCTCCGTCCATAACACCACTACACACTCCGACGAAGAGTGTTACAACCAAGGAGCCAAGCGACCAGAACGCACGGGCAAGGCCTTTTCTGCATGCACACACTGCGTGCACTGCTCAACCCAGTCAAGAGACATACAAGCCAAGCCTACCACAACAGAAATTCCCAAAGAAACAGAGAAGACCGAACAGGCAGAGATCGACTTCTCTTACGACGAAGATGCATTCAAGGGTGGATTCATGTACCATGCTACATGCAGCAAGGGAAGCGGACGCACTTTCACGACAACTGCAACTGGGACTTCCGCGCTGGTGGATTCTGGAGCTTCTGAGACCATGTTCGACGACCGCCTCATCCCGAATGGACGTCTCGAAGAAGAACGCCCGACGCCCAAGATCATCGACGTTGCAGGAGAAAGCCAACTACGAGGCACTACCACTGGGATCCTACACTGCACCATCAAAGACGACAAAGAACAGCAACTACCCGTCAAACTACAAGGTCTCATCGTGCCAGGACTAGGCCGGAACATCTTCGCACCAACGGCCCTTCTCAAGAAGGGCCTCCGATGTGTCCTGGAAGACAAGACCCCACACCTCACCATCGGCGGAGAAGTCGTCGTTCCTCTGAAACAAGAGACTCAAGACCAAGGCATGTGCACCCTCGCCATCACATTCAAGGGCGATCCAGCGTCGACAAGCAAGACACCCCCGAACAACCAAGAACCAGGGCGCAAGCCGAAGTTCCGAAAACCAGAAGCGGTACAGATCGATCACACTCCGCACGCGACATGCTCAGTGGCGATGAGCGTGAGCGCCGACCTCTGGCACCGGCGCCTCGGCCACATCAATCCACGTGCTATGGAGATTTTGCGGCGCAACCCCGCCACAGGTGTGAAATATGACGGACCTGTATCCCCGTGCGACAACTGCCAAATCACGAAGCACAAGAAGGCTCCCGTCCCGAAGAATACCAGCCGTGTCCTGACCAAACCAGGCCAACTCGTCCAGTTCGACAACATGGGACCAATCGACCCGCCTGCGAAGTACAACGGACGCACCTACTCCTATGTCGCCAAAGCGACCGACGTCTTTACCAGAATGCGGGAAGTGTACCTACTGCGCGACAGGACCGAAACCACGCAAGCTCTGCACGCCTACAACATGCAAGTAGCATCTGAAGGCTACCGCATCGAGGTTCTACGCTGTGACAAAGGGGGAGAGAACACTGGGGAAGAAATGCGCAACTACTGTAGGGAGTCTGCGATCAAGCTGGAATTCGCCGCGACCAACACGCCCCAAGAAATCGGAGTGTCAGAAAGGGATGGCCAGACACTTGCGGCTGTGACTCGAGCTCTACTGCGCGATGGAGACTTCCCAAAACACATGTGGGGGGAGCTCATGATGACTGCAGCATACCTGACCAACAGGACCCCACACGCGGCGCTAGGGGGAGCCACGCCGTATTCCAAGATGTACAACACAACCCCGGACCTTTCTCGACTTCGTGCCATCGGCGCCCGCGCGTTCGTTCATCACGAGCGATACAAGAAGAAGCTAGACGATCGGGCCTTTGAAGGCAAGCTCTGCGGTTACGGACCTGACAGCAAGACGTACCGGATCTACGTGGAGGGCAAAGACAAGGTCTACGAGAGCCGGAACGTGACTTTCATCGAGACTCCACCCAACACCATCCCCCCTCACCGGTGGGACGACCGTCTCGGATATGAACAGGACGTGATGAACTTCACGTCATTGCTCGGACGCCGTACCTCTACGGGCGACGAAGACAACAAAGTGGACTACGGAACACAATCAGAGCTCCTGCTGCACGAGATGCGCAACATGCAGCAAGTCAACGAGCAGAACTTCGCCAAAACAACGCGGGCATGGATTCCGACAACTACTTTG